TGAAAGATCTCAAGTCATGAGCTGCACTGCTCTAAAAATTAAATCTCATCCCAATATTTTAGCAAAGTTGTTCTGTCTAGTTTTGTTATTTTACTTGCTACTTTGGTTTTGTATTTGAAATTTAAGCACTTTGATGCAATCAAGTTGTATTGTCAGTCTTTACTGTGCAGCTGAAAGGAAGGGAGATACACCTTGCTGAAATGGATGGTAACATTAATGAGTGACTATGTGAATAGAAGAAAGGAAGAAATAAAAATACAAAGCATCTGGAGAATGGGATCAAGAGTTGTGGTAGTCTTTCAAGGATTTGATTAAACTGGATTGAATGAGGATCTTTTTCCTCCAGAAGAAAGCACATGAGTCTGTTTAACAAAGGAAGAGTAACACAGTTTAAATGAAACTCTTTTTTTCATAGATTGATCTTGAAAAATCCTTTGTCTCTCTATGTGGCTTCTTCTAAACTGATTACACCAATGTGGTTGTTTCTGTAATTTAATTATCTCTGCACTCAATGAGAACAAGTTAATTAAAAGTCTCTTCTTTTGTTGGCTGAAATGTATTAGTTTTTCCTACGTGGAACTTCATGGCTTTTGTTTTCTCCTCGTGTCACGGGCTGGTTTTGTTCAGTGCAGCTGTGCTCCCTACTGCATAACAACTCAATATAGCTGGCTTTGTAGCCCCTCCTTTTTATGGGCTGGACAAAATTACCTCCAGGGATTTGCAAATGTAGGTCAGTAGTGTAAAAACCCAAGTCCCACTCCTATATTAAAGTTTGCTCCCAAGTGGGAAATCAGGTTAGCTTTGGCAGGTTGGATTGCAGGCGCTTTGATGTTGGAAGGCTGAACATGCGTGCAGGGAAGTCACTGGGCTTCTAAGCATGGTCCCGGTAGCCTGGGTTTGGAAATCATGTTTTGCTTAACCAGAAAGGTTTTTATTTTAGAAAGCTCTTGGGAGATGAGCTTAACCCTGGGCTACGGTAATGTCAGGACTGAACAGGGCTGGGCATAGTTTGTATTTGGGTTGGCGGCAGCCAATTCTGCGGAGCTGCGTGACTCAGTAGCTGACACACTTCCTCCTGGGTATGAGTGCCACAGCACGTTGGTAGGAGGTGCTGCATGCTCCATGAGTCATTAAACCCAAAGCACTGAATTTTTCCTGGTCATTAAACATCACTTGGCTGCCTTGGTCGGAGCACGGCTTTTGCCTTCTGACTAACCCGGCTCCAGCTCCCTCCCTCGTCGGCAGTCAGGGCTCATCGTGTGCTCTTTGCTTTCCTGCTAAAGTGCTGCAGATCCCTGGTGTTGGCACAGAGTATCTGGTCCTCCTTTGTGCTGGGGCCATCCATGCACTTAACAGCTCCGAAACCAGAAGGGCAAATGCAACCTCACCTAGTGCGAGGTGTCCCTGCCCATGCACAGAGCTGGAAATAGATCATATTTAGAGTCCCTTCCAACTCAAACCATCCTGTGATTCTGTGAGATAATCAGACAATATAAACTGGATGATTTCTTGTTTATCAGTGCATGCAGAGCCAGGGATCTTGTGCTGTTATTTTTTTTTAATCTCCTTCTTAAGATAACTCCTTGGAGTGAAATCCACCAACCTGAAACTCAAATATTTCATGTCCATTTCAGGAATTGGCAGGAGTTTCCCCTTACCTACAGCAGCATCCAGAGGAGCTTTGAGCTTTGCAGGTTCCTAAGGACCTGCTATACCATGGTAGTCACAGATGTGGCTCCTTGTTCACCCATTATCTGGAGTGAGCTGCTCCTCATGTCCCTGCCGTGACAGGAGTGAAACATTTGCATTGTAGCAGGCAGATGAGCCACATGCCAAGGCCAATGTGACTTGAGGATACTGTATTAGTTCCATGCTAGAATGTTCTTTATAGGCAATGGCTCTAAACTTGACTAGAGGTGTTGATGGTCAGGTCATACCCTGGAGCAGGGAGCTCTCATTTCTGACCCCTGCAGACCTGCAGGACTTCTGTAGTTTTAGGAATTGCAGGTTCTGAACTGATGAGGATGAAAGAGGGAAAACACAGAAAGGAGAAATAGGCAGTCATTCTCCCTGAGCCCTAGATAATTTTTGAGATCTGCATCTACTCTAATTTACCATCTGTGTGGATTCTTGGTGGCTTTTGGAGATGTCATTTCTAGGAAGTTTCATGTGTTAATCATGAAGATTTGTAAGCAAAATTTTTCTTTTATGTTGTGCATTGTACCCTGCCAGCTCTGACTTACGTTTGAGCTGGAGAATTCTTGGAAATACCCAAGTATGAAGGAAATGCCTGTCCTTTAGATATGAGTAGAGGAGACACTCAATTTCTAGGTGAATATCCCACAATCTTTACAAATATCTTATTTGTAAAAGTTGTATTTTGATAGAATACTTTTACTTTTGCAAGAACCACAGTTCTGTATTTATTGGAATTTATTGAGTGGATGGTCTATTTTTTTTGGTATATCAGACAAGGGTCTCAGTTATGTTTCCAGTACAGAGATAAATGGGAACTATTATTTCAAATATATTTTTTCCAAGGTTGATTTCAGAAACAAAAACTTAGAAGGAAGTGCCTACACAGAAAATGTAAATCTTAGAGCTGTAATTATTTTAATCCTCCCCTAGAATTTTTCTGGGAATTAAGGTGACTGTCATTCCTCTGTTTGGAATCTTCTGGTGTATTGTAATCACTTATTGTCTGTTGTCAGATGTTATTCAGTGGCCATCCAGTACAAACCTGCTTAATCAGAGCCTCTAAAGGCTCTGTTCTATTTCTTAGAGGAGAGGTGAGCAGTTAATAAGTCTTTGACAGCAACAGGAGTCTTGTCTTAACCCACTCACTAACTCAGTACGTGGAAAACTCCTCAAAGTCTCAGATTCAGGATTGCTTTTAAGTGGATACCTGCAATAATATTTGCAGCTCACACGCTGATTCCATGCTGTGCTTGTTCTGCCCTCCCTTCAAGGACCTGATCCAAAACCAATTTTGAAATGAGCAGAAAGTCTTCTATTGATGTTGTGCTTGAGAGCAGATCGTGAAGAAACAGCAGAGGAAGCGATAACATAGTGGTGGGTCATGTGTCTTGTGTCTGCAGTGCTGGGGAGCTGATGTCATGTTTATTAGAAGCCAAGATCAGAGTTCACAGGCTCAGGAAATGTCTGCAGAGTTTAGGAATGGTTTGTAACTTCTATCCCAATGACAGGTTTATTTGGCACTTTTTGATAAGTGGCCTGTTTGAAATTTCCTCTCCAAGTAAGCAATTTGTAATTCCCACTTGAAAGGGCTACTGTGGGGGATGGTGATGGGGCCATATTTGAAAACCATTTATGGTTACTAACATCCTGGCATCTGTCATCCAGGAGTCCTGTGCCTTTATTGTTTTGATCTGTCCAAAATGATTTCTTTATACAGAAACTGGAAAGCTTTCTTTGTGTCCTGAGCGCTGATAAAAATCTTCCTTAAAACATATAAATAGAATTCATGACTAAATTAAAGGATCATTAGAAATAGTTCCACTGTTTTCCCATCATGAAATTTGCTCTCTTATTTGGGTCACCTTGTCTCATTCAACCTTACAGTGCATTTTTCTCTATCCATTGTCAAAATACCATCATCATGGCATTCAAATTCTGCCAGTTCTGTGCCATTGCACTGATTCCCAATCCTCATTTCCTGAGCCCAGCTCCTGCTTCCATAAGCAACAATGCAGTTGGTTTGCAGGTGTTAGAGGTTTCTTCCACTCATGGCTTCTATTGACTCCCAAAGAAAGCTGGGAGAACTCTTGTTGTACTGGTGATGTAGCTGCAGTTCTTAAAGGATGTTAACTAATGGAAGCACTTAAATAATTGGGATTGTTCAGCCTGGAGAAGAGAAGCTTCAGGGTGACCTCACTGTGGTGGCCTTCCAATACCTGAACGGAGCCAACAAGAAACATGGAGAGAGACCATTTACAAGGACATTTAGTGACAGGACAAGGGGGAATTCAAACTGAGAGTAGGTTTAGGCTGGATATTTTAACAAGGTTCTTTTATGTGAGAGTGGTGAGGCACTGGATTCCTCATCCCTGGAAGTGTTCAAGGTCAGGCAGCAAACTTAGACTTGGCTTTCAAGTACTGATTTTTATTTTAAGAATTAAAGCAGGTATTCTGGGAAGTGTCACAGAAACACAAGCTCTTCAGAATCAGCACTTAGGGACATGGAGGAACCAAGCTCCACGGTGTTTAAAGAGGATTAGCAGGAGTTATGTTGTTACCAGAGCTTCTGAGACACCCAAGTCTCCTGCAACAGGAATACTCTGAAAATCTACTCTTTAGTACATGTGTAACACTTGGAAATAAGTCCCAGTTTACTGTGTCATTTGTGTGCTCTTTAAACCATCTCAGCTCCTTTTTTAGGGTAAGGCCTAGTTGGGAAAATGATGCCTTCCCTGTTCTGATGCTTTCAAAATCCAAATACATGGAAGAGACCTGATTTGCATGGAAACACCCTGAGGAGAAGCTGTAAGGTTGGGAGGACAATCTGAATCCCTTTTCCAAGCTGCTGCACTGTTTGTTCAGGCTTGGAATCACATAGGCCAGTCTTGAATCGGATTCAAATTTATTTCTTGTCATCAGAGGTTTTTTGCATCAAATATCCCTGACCTCTGTCCTCATCGGTGGTAAACCAGACAAGAGCATCCAAATGGCACTTTGTGTTAGTCTTGATTTTAGTCTGTTCTTGGTTTCCTGTTCAGACTGTTCAATGCCTGCTGGGGATGATGTCCCAGAATCCCCAGGAAGGTGCTGCAGCTCAGCGTTACAAGGTGAGTCTGGTTCCTGCCAGCAGAGGACATTGTTGTTCAATAAATTTCTCCAAGAGCCTCTTGGCTCTTTAGCCTGATGTTTTATAGGGTTTTGATATACTTGGACTATTTGTTACACTTACAAAGCTTATTTTGGTTGAGGACTGAAAACTTTTGAGACTTTAGAACACAAATTGCAACTTTACTATCCCCCAGGTCCTGGAAGGAGAGAACTTTTTGTTATGCCAGTTTTCAGCCAAGAATACACTGCTCATCAAAGTGCTGCTGACTGGCACCAGCAGTGCAAGGATTGCGTGTTTTGGGTAAGTGATCAGCAGGAGGAATTGAAATCGAGGCGTACATTATGGATCTCTTATTAGTAAAAGTTTTACCTGCACATGAAATATAAGAAAATATCATGCAGAATTTGAAATTAAGGAGGCTGATGCTGCTGCAGAAAGTTTAGTGGAAATAATTGGGTTTGTTCAACCATTTCCTGATATCAGGTGTGGAGGTGGGAGCTGGGGAATCAAGCTGTTAGTATAAAGGGCCAACAGGAGAAATGGAAGCTCCCACAGACACAGGGCAGCCTCAAGCCATGTGCAGAAGAGAGGAGGAGCTCCGAGGTGGTGCTGAAAGGAAAGGAGTCCTTGCTTGTGTGCCATAGCTGTACTTGGAGCTGGGAGCTTACATCTGGTCAAGTGTCTTCTCTAGGAGGTCAGTCCCAAAATTTAGAGGACTCTTGAAGGGCACAAATATCTTGTTTGCCAAAACCAACCCCCAAAATCCTCCTGTCTCCCCCACTTTGGGGGTAAAAATAGATATTTAACAACTTCTTATTTAATCTGAAATTTCACATAGTTTTGCAAAATAATTTGCAGAATAAAAATAACATGAAAGCTAATATTTGCTGCTTTATAAATGCTTCTGATCTTCACTGTAGCAGAAAATCCTTTAATTCACAGTTAAGTTTTAAAATGAAGGTGGGAGGGAAGGTTTTAAACTGACTTCAGCTGAAATGTTTTCTTGCTTCTGAGTCTGTTGAGCCAACAGGGAGGATCCACCTCTTTGGTATCAAGCTGGTGCACATCCTTTTTTTCCTGCTTCTCCTTCAGTGCTTCTCATGCCTGCCTTCAGCCATGGCTCTGTTTCTGCTGAACACTTGAATCAAGATGCCCTGATACCACTGCAAACTCCTCACTGTGGTTTCCTATCCTAGACATGCAAACAGAGCAATGCTGTTTCCATTCCTCCTGAGTTAGGGGAGATATACTGCCTCAGCTTTGTTTGAAAGGACAGGGGTGTGTTGGACAGGCCTTGCTCTATCAGCTTCAGTTATACTGTATTTATATTAGCTGAGGATGTGGCTTTGGGTTCTGATTGCAGTTGCTGGTTGAGTCAGAAAACCCCAATTTTCTCCACTGTGATGCTTTTTTTTTTCATTTGTTTACTTGGAATCCAAGTGTTGGAGATGGGTCTTTAAACAGAAAAATATGATGGCTAAAAAGAAAAAATATGAATCTCCTTTCACAGGTGAAAAGAAAATGACAGGCTTACAAGGAAAGATGTGGTGAACTTCATCTTTGCAGCTTCCTTTTCCCATTTTCTACTGCAGAAGTTCAAGAGGGCTGTAAAACCTCAGGTTCCACAAAATATGACTGTCCCTAATTATAAGGTTAAAGGATTAATATCGCATACAGTAATAGGAAGTGTGAGGAGGAAGTACTACCCTCTTGGCTGAACACCCCCTTTTCAATAAAAATAGCAAACTCCAAATTTATATTAGGAAATGTGAAAGTCCCAAGAGTCTCAGCGTCCTCTGAAGTAATTTCTTCCACTTCTGGGTAGTGAGCTTCCTATTTATTCAGCAACACTGTACCATCTGTGGGAGAGAGAAAGCCAGGCTGGTTTGTGTGGCCTCCTCCGCTGAACCTCAGGGAAAAAGCGACGTCTTCCGCACCGCTGTTTTTTCAGGTTTGATTTAACACTTGCACAGACCTGGTGATGGCTAAGGAAGAAAAATGCAGTTGGGACTACTGAAACCAAAGAGCTGGCAGCTGTCATGCTGCTTTTAGGGAGGAAGCACTGGTTTTGGGACCTTGTTGGGACAGGTAGCAGGGCTGGGCTGGCCCCTCTGTCTTGGGCAGAGCCGTGGTTAAAGTCAGTAGGTCTCAGCTGATAGGGATAGGATTTGAGAGTTTGAAGTGTTTACTTAATGGACTTTATTATGTCACAGAGACTGGGTCATTTCATGGTGAAGAGGGGAGAATGCAAGGAGTTTTTCAAATCCCGGTGTCCTTGAGTTTTCCTTTTCCTGAGTGGTTTAATGAGTGGCCAAAGGCACAGAATGACTCTTGCTTCCAGCACCGACTGGAAGTGGCAAGTTCCAGATGAGACCTTCCTTTGTGATGGAATTGGTGTGTTCTCCCTGTTCACTGGGAAAGGACAGGACACACATTGGTACCTGGCTGTGCTTCAGAGACTGGCTTATATATGACTGATGGGCACTTATGCCCTTGACTGAGCACATACCAACCACATCAGCTTTTGGATGTATAAAACCAGCTGGGGTGGGTATGACAGAGGAGGCAGGAAATGTATTTGCCTCTTCCATGTTTTTAAAGCTTTATCCCAAGCTACTGACCCCTCATTTAAACATTCATTTGCTTAATAATTTTATGTAGCTTTGTTTTGCAGGTATGCCTAATCTCTGTCTGTGTGAGACTCACACATCTGGCCCCTCTGTCCTGCCCTCCCATCTCCCTGCAGACAGTGTGTACATTTTATGCATCTCAGCTTTCCTACTAATTCCCCAGCTGCCCCTGCTCCCAACATCCACATCTGGCATTTGTTAGTGGCAATTTATGGCATCACAGCTCTCCAGCCATCCACAAATGCAGACCTGTGCAATGGCTTTGTCCAGTTGTGTGACTTGGCTTGTAGGACACCTCCCTTAAGATCTGAGGTGATGGATCCTGATGCAGGAAGAACAAAGTCTCCTTTTTTTATTTGAGGTATGAGATAAGCCAGCCAAATGGAAGTTTGAGAATAACATTCTCAATGTTTTTGAATTCTTTCTCATAAATTAACTTTAATAAGAGGGAATTTTTAAAGTTGGGCCCTTAAAACAGCAAAAAGAAAAACTTTGAGTGGGCCTTAACCCAAGTTATTTGTTCTGAGAAGGGAAGGACAGTTAGTAGCACCATCAGCTCAGAGAAGGTGATGGACCAGCACTGTTGAGAATTGAGCTGGGTTTAGGTTCCAGTTCATTCAGTGCTTCTAAGCCCACGCTTAACTTTAATCCTGTTAGTAATGCTGTGTGATGGTCAGGTAGAAGTTAAGAAGGTGTTGCTTCAGTTTTTCAGATGATGGTCCATCTCTGCATTAAGTACAGGCGACATTTCCTGCTCTTATGTGACCATTGTGCCCTGGAGGATTCAGTGTTGGAGTTAACTGCTCATGCAGACAAGAAACTCAGCGTGTTCCTGCACTGTCAGTGTGCAAAGGTAAGACAGACAAAGGTGCTTTTGTACAAACCCAGGGATCTTTAGATGAAAATCAGCCCCTTCGTGAGCTGCTTTGGGAAGTGACTCAAAGTAGCTTCATTTCTAGTATTGCTAAGTTCCAGTCTTCTGGAGCAGCCTCTTCTGATGTGATTGTTTATTCCTTTTATTTATGCCACCAGGTTTTGTCCTTGTCCTTTAACGTAGAACAGCAGAATTGTTCGGGTATCAGTGCATGTGTGGAGTTCAAACTGGACGTCTGTGTCTAACGTGGATGTGTGTGTATGCATGTGTCAGGTTTTAGAAAATTATTGGAAGCAGCTGTGGGTGGATGAGAAACAAAGCCGTGGGTCTGTGAGCCAAACAATTAACATAGGAGTGGAATACTGTAGTTACATCAGTCTTTCTCTAAAAAGCCTGAGTTTCTCCCCAATTCCCAAAAGTCCATTATTAATTCTCTTGGCATGTAGCATAGCAAAATGAGTGCGTTTATGAACTTGACTACTTCTTTTAACAAGTTCCAATAACTGCTTCCTAAATCTTGTGTTTTTATATCAATTACATACAGTAAGCATTGAAATCAACCAAAGAGAACTGCTGAGGCCAAGAAGGGTTATTTATGTTAAATGAGGATTGCCAACTGCCAAAAGTAAAATGTGGATATAATTTTATAACACCATTTTATAATTAAAGTCATAAGTGAGGTTTCCTGCTATTGTTTAAAAATGTGTCACAATAAATTTAAATCAAGGATGAAGGCACAGAAGGGGCTACTAAAGAACATATCAATACAACAAAGATGGTACAGCGAACATGTCTGTTGCAAAAGAAAAACATGTGCTAACAATTTCAGTGAAATAATTATATTTATTGCATATAGATTCTGTTTTAGGAACTATAACCACTTAGAAACTGTTTTCATTCATGTCAGATTGAGGTTAATTTGTTGTTACTGTATGTCTATAGATAGATTTTACTGTCAGAAATTTAATATGTTGGTTTAATGATAAGGCAGCCTTCTAGCTGGACCAGATTTTTTTAAAAGGCCAAGAAATCCAGAAAAAAGTTAATAGTTTTGGCTAATATTTATGTGTCCGCAGCATTTTTGAGTTAATGTTGTATCAATAAAGAAAATAAAACCCTGGCAAGTAAGTACCCACTCGTCAGATTCAGAAAAATATTTAAGCACACGCTTAACTTCAGCATTTTCAGTGGGATGTTGATTTTAATAGTATTAAGCACAAATCTGAGAACTTCTTTAGGGACTCTTTTTTTTCAATTGTAGCCTGAACTCGAAGGAGAAATAACTTCAAATTATCAAAGTGAACAGGAGTAATAACAGCCCTTTGTTTTAATTTACTCATTGTCTGAATATGTAACTTTGCTCCTACGCTGTCAGAGATCTTCCAAAGGTTTTAGGGCTGATCCCTCGCAGCTTATGGGTGGTTGCAAATGCTCCCCCTTTTCCCAGAAAGAAGTGGTTTAATTCCCATGCATTGGTAAGAGTTAATCTCTAGAACATTCCTGGCTTTGGGAAGTCATGTTCATGGAATAGGTAAGTAATTTCCAATGGATCATTTCATCCATCGCTTTGCTAATAGAACCCATGTGTTTCATATCAGCACCGAGGGGACATTAATCAGTGCGCACCACTCCTGCCAGACATATTCTGTGCAGAGTCCCTGGTTACATCTCAAATGTCAATATGTGGAAAAAGATGAATAATAAAATGCAATAGATAGCATTTGTTACACATGCCATTTGTAAGTTCCTTGTAAAACAGATCCCAGGGAAAGAGCTGATGGTAATACAACATTGAAGTTATGAAGCTCTCAGAGGAAAGAAATGCTGGAGTCCAGCGGTTCATTGTAATTCTGATGCCTTCTGCACATGCATTATTGTCATACAGGCTTTAACTAGAGGACCACAGCTTATTTCTCCACTGACACAATGTGCTTTCCAAACTGGAAAAAATTTGGAAGCTGCACTATGCAGGAGCTATTGATGTCTTTGGAATTTTACCTCATGCCTAGAAAATCTCAAGATGTGCTTTTAAGTTGTTCATGACTGTGCTGCAATGGAGACAGCTCTATACCTGTAGCACAAGAAGTCACCATAGCCACTGGTCTAGTAAAGGCTGAAAAATGTTCTCATTAGTGATGCTAATTCTATCTTAATTCATCACTCACTTGAGGCAGAATTCCCCCATTGCTGGGGGAAGAAGTGGTGCTAGGAGGAGATTGTGAGCAAGGAGGAATGAAATGGGACATCAGGGGCGAGAGGGGATGCTGCGGGCTGAAGGCATAACTGCAATCAAGTACATAATTAGCCAGAACCACTCTGACAGGGTCTAGAAATCTGTGAGAGGTGATTTCAAAGTCTCTACAAGTAACTATTACTCAACTTCTAAACATCTTTTTGACCTCTCAGCTGAATTTCTTTTGTTTTTATAATGTAGTCCTTCACTCTTGTCCTGTCCTTGGGGGAGGAAGATAACAAATATTTGACTTCTCTCCGACCCCCAGTTTGCTATCCTGCAGCATGTGTCCTTCTTTTCCCACTCTCTAAATCTTCAGATTTTTTTTTAAGCCAGTTATCTTGTAAAGGTGAAATTTTTGTTTGTTCTGTTGCATGTATCCATTTCTTACTCTCTTTTTTGTATCATAGAGGTTATACTCAGGTCTACAGACTGAACTAAATGTTCCCAAACTATTCCCTATCTCTTAAAAATCAACTTTCTGGTCTCTTGGAGTTCCATCTGTGTTTCCAGGGAGCACTCTGCAGATAGCCAGGAGTGGCTCAATGTCCTTCATTCTTTTTGTAAGTGCTCTGAAGTTATCATGTGTGGCTGATCTGGATATATTTAACTATTCCAAATATTTTTTAACATGTTTTCTTTCCATAGTCTGGACTGTGCACTTACTCTGTTGCTATTAAGTTCAGCTTTAAGTATCTGATCTCAATTAACCTCCTTTAAAATCTGAAGCAGGAAAGGCCATGTTTAAGCCTTCTAGATGTTATCAATAATCAGGAAAAGCATCACAGATGCCCCCTCCTATTAAGCAGTTTACTATCAATAGCCTGAGAAGGCAAACATGGAAATGTCTTGGAACATTTAGAGGAAAAGATTCTGCTACTGTGGTGTTGGGGGGGGGTTATGCTGCCAGAAAGCTCAAATATTTGTGGATTACTCAATGTGAGAGCAGATGACTGAGCTGAAATCACAGCCTCCTGCCTTTTACAGCAGCAGGAAGCATTTTGTTGTGCTACTTCCCTGGGTGCTCTCTAATGACAGAAAAATTGCACATTTCTGTCTGGTGAAATTCAGTCAGAATCCTTGGTAGCTGGACAGAAATCAGGCTGGACAGAGCTGCTTAACATGGTTTGCATTACACATGAGCTGCAGATGCTGCCTTGAGGAGAGTATGCACAGAATATTTTGTCTAATTAACTCCAGTCTGTGTCACCAAGAGGTTTCTGATCTTTGTCCTCAAAGTTAACATGTTAAAAAGTACACAAGGCTTCTCCCTTTCGTGTATCTTATATAGATACAGAAGGATTTTGAGAATCAAGAAAATGCAAACGACAACGTTTAAACTGAAGCAAAGGAGTGTAAGGTCAGTCCAGTGCTGACTATTGAAGAGGAACTGGAATTTGGTGGTTCTGCTGCTTCTGTAACCAAGAGGATAAATGCAATTACTGTTTGGAGCTGCAGCAAATTTGTATTTGCACTCTGAATATCAGACCTTTAGGAGGCCTGCTGCTAGAAAGGCCTCTCCAGGCTCTGCTCTGGAGAATCTACATGTGAATTCTGCAGTGCAATTAGAAATCAAAACGATTGTTTTCATTGCTCAGAGAGAGCTGCCAAATGCTGGTGCATTTTCTGGATTTCAAAATGAACTGTGCTTATGCTTAACATCCCTCTAGGATGGAGCACAGCTGTGATCCAAAGCTGGCTTCAGGTCAAGCCTCCACCTTCACTCCAAGTGCCTGTACTGGCCAGTGCCTGATTTGGACAGCACTGGTGAGAACCATTGTGAATTTTACCCCTTCTTGGTAAGGTACACAAAGCATTCGTGTTTCCTGTCCTTGCTACAACTGAGTACTGGGAAGTTTTTAAAGCTTCTGTCTTGCCATGACTTCCATGAGGTAGGAACTCTCAATTGCTTGGAAAATGGGGAGATAGTTTCTCTGTGTTCTAAATCGTGTAGGGACACTGTTACAGAGCAAAAGACTGATCCTGGATTTCAGCAGCTCAAGTGTTTTCTGTAGCTTTTAATCTTTCTTTGGACAGTGACCTTAAAAGCTGCCTCAGGAGCATTTCAGAGGATACTTGGCATCAGAGTCCCTCTCTGTGTCCAGAAGTTTTATCCTGGATCCAAGTGCATCGTTGTCAGTATTGATGAAGCATTTTACAATGAAACCCCCTGTTTAAAAAGAAAAAACCAAACTAGCCCCTATTTGTTACAGGAGATCTGTGTTGCTCTGGACAACCCTTACCTTGCCTTCTGACTGGCCCTTGGAGCTCTGGCCTACAAATTGGTCCTGGAATAACTTCTGGTCCTCTGGGCCTGCTGGATCTTCCAATCTGGTTGTCACAGCTTTCCTCAGCAGCTTGTACAATGCTCCCATGGGTCTTGTGCATTGTGAGATTGGTGGCAAAATTGTGATGTAGAGCTAGAATTAAGGAAAGCATTCTCAAAAAGCCCTAGGAACTTGCCTGGTTTCATGGTTCATTAGAGACTTTAAACTCTTGCCATGCATGTTGAAAGATTTGCTTAAGTCAATGAAGGCTTTTGAGTGAACTTCATCAGGCAAAATTGGTGGTTCCTCTGAGAATCCAGAAGAACATTACCAGTTTCAAGCAGCTTTTGCTCTGAGATTTCTTTGATTCATTTAGAGCTGACACAGTAGAGCTGTGGAGCAACATGAGAGAAAATACTTAAATGATCTACAAAGCAAAACCACAGAATTTTGTGAAGTTATCATTAGAGCTGTGTTGAAAACTAGATGGTTTTTTGAAAGGAGCAGGGAAATACGACACGAAGATCTGCAAAACTGCCTTACTTTGATTGCCACAGAAAGAAGCTCAAAGCCTGCAAACTCCACCAACTGCTAAGTCTCATCTGAGAACTCAGGCCAGCCATTATTCCTACAGTGACACGTGCAACCTCCTAGTCTTGAGCCAGATCCTATGTGAAGAAATAAACAATTGGAGCAGTCCTTGTCTTGGAAGGCTGAATGGGCACAGAAGAGATTTTTCAAGAACTTTGTTATGCAAAATTTATTGAAAATCATTTGTATCTTTAATCTGCTTTGAAAATCTTAGCTGTAGAAAGCTGATAACATTTGATATCTAAAAATGAGGGTGCTTGAGAAAATGTAGGATTAAAATGGACTTTTATGTACACACAGACCTGAGGCATTTTCTTTGGGTCCTCCCTTGCAAGCTATGCCTGCAGTACTCCTAATGCTGTAATTTCAAATATTTCAGTGACCACCTTCTGAAGATTTCCCATGGATTCCAGTCCTGGTACTTCTGTGTTATTTTGATTTTACTGTTTCGGTGTCCCTGTGTGTCTTCTGGGCAAGTTTGCCTGACCAGATGTCCATACTGAATGACACTTGAAGATTCCCAAGATGCCTGTGTTGTTCTTTTCCTTTCTTCTTTTCCAGTTGTGAACTTTCATCAGACCAGAGGTGACTGCAGATACAGGAGCACAGGAACGGGAGGCAACTGAATTACAGCAGCTGTGATACTGGAGTGGCTTTTTCAAATGGGTGTACTACTGACTGGCTTTTTTCCCTTATCCAGAAAAAAATGACTTTTCCTGTGGAGAAAGCCCATCTTTCAGCTTGCTGTACCCCAATAGATGCATGTGGAAGGGTATTTTACTCTGGAAATGATTCTTACCCACAAGAATGGTGGGACATTGCTTCAACTGCTTTCTATTTCTCTCAGAATTGTCTGGTGTCACCCCTTGCATTCAGTGCTTGAAACCAAGACGAGCTTGTGGAAACAGCTTTTGCTGTTTTCTGTCTTTGCAGGGCAAATCAGACAAGGGAAAACACATCTCTTAGGATTCCATCTAGAATCCCATAAGACTTAATTCTCATCTGGCCGAATCCTCCCCTGAATTAATCCCCACCACCCAGGGAAGTGAGTGGAAACACACCTGGGCTCCAGGTATCCTGCTCCATGCTCAGAGTGCTCGGCTTCCACCATCGCTGGGCATGGCAGAAGCACAACCTCCACATATAAAGCCCTTCCCGATATCGCCAGAGCGAGGGGACCACAGCCTTAAAATCCAAATTAAATGAACCTAATTTCCTCTGAGATGTTAACGTGCCGCGCTGATTTCAAGTTAATCAAAACAGATGTTTTCGAAATGCATCAAACAGGATGTAGAAAATTTGGCTATTTAATGCAGATTCAAAGCAAATTCCTTACAACCACCACGGAAACCATGGCTGTTTGCTCAGGCCTGTGGAGCGAGGCTGTGCTTTTTAAGTGCCACTTGCTGCCTCTGCCCACTGTGGCCTCCATTCCATGAACTTATTTAAAGCTTGGTTATACTAAAGATAGTAGGCCAAACCTTGTTCTTGGGGACATAATTAATGTATCCTGCCAATTCCTTAAATAGATGCACATCTTGGAAGAAGACAGTTTGACATGTGTTTTATCTCCCCTTCTGGAAGCTTTGCTCTGAAATTCAGGCATTTTGTACAAAATAATGATACAAACAGAATTCAACTGAGGAGTTCATGTCAATATTTTCAGATTCTTTGTACCTGTATTTGTTCAGACCTGATTGTAACCCTTGCAATTCAATACTAGCAAGAAGCAAAAAAAGAGTTGTCTTATTCCTTCTGAGGTAAAACAAATATTTTTTGGTCCACAACATCCATTTGTGTTTTATTAACCTGATATTAAAGGAGGTGAAGTCTAGTTAATGCAACAACATTTTAGATGGGGATAAGTCAGTCTGAATCCCCCTCTTAAAATCTTTCAAGGATTTCAAGGAAAGAAAAATTTAAGTAGAAGTCTGGATACTTCAGTGTATATTACACCCGGTCTGCAGTTTAGCGTTTTTGTTGATTTTTATTGCAACTTAATGATTCTGGCATGGCCTAATGGAGTAGAATTTGATCTCTATCAGCATTTTTATAAAAAACTAAGGTAAGCTGAGGAGTTTGGCATTTCTGCTTTTGAGAATGAAGAGTCCACACCTCTTTGGACAACCTATCCCAGAGTTTGACCACTCTCACAATAAAAAAATAAGCATTTTTCCTATGGTCAAAGGAAGTTTCCTGTGTTTCAGTTTGTGCCTGTTCCCTCTTGTGCTGTCACTGGGCTCCAGTGAGGATACTCTGGCCCCCTCTCCTTCCTGCTCTCCCAACAGGTGTTTATTCCAGGGGATAGGATCTTCCTGAACTCTCTTTTCTAGGCTGAACTGTCCCAGTTCTCCTTGTCTCTCCTCATGGGAGAGAGGCTCCAGTCCCTTAATCATCCTTGTGGCACTCACAGCAGTAAATCTATAGGGTTTTTGTGTACTGGGGAGCCCAGAACAAAGGGGGGAAGTGTTCCTGATGATTCTTTTATGCTGTTTTCCTTCCATTACAGATCTCCCACTCTTCACTTGCCATTGTAAGCTGAATCACATTGGGACACCATCAAAAGCTCTGCACTGCTGAAGCAGGCTTTTTCCTTTCCTTTTTTTCTAATTAAAAAAAAATAAAAATTCTTATAAGACAGGCCAAATTATAGGAGTTTTTGGAAGAACAGACTATGAAATGTGGTATGTTTTTAATTGCAGTATTCTACCAAAAAAGTTACTCAAAATAGTGTGACAGTATTCAATGTTTATTAAGATCTGTGAGGATTTTGTTTTTAGCTAAAATAAATGGAGATAAGTAGTTATTAGACATTGGATGAAATCCCTTTATTCTGTGTAGAAGGACTTTGACATTTGGTACAAGAGGGATCCAGGTCAGGTTTTTATAGAGGTACAACTGTAGAGGCCAGTGTACTGTGATGGTCAGAGGCTTTCCAGACATCTCAGGACTGTCATTTGGGCTGTTTTATGCTCCAGACAATTGAGAACCCTTAAATTCATGGCACTGAGAGTGTGGGGAACTCTGAGCTTTCTCAAAAGTCTGTAGTTTGGAAACTTGTGCAAGACCCTGGGTATGAAGGAGCTCAAGTCCTGCTGATGTCACAGCAGTGTCTCACCATGATCCTTCTGAAGATGTGGACTCAAGTGTCCCAAGAGCTGGATGTAGGAGCTTTGTCCTGCTGTACATGGGAAGTGATGTTCCACACTGCCCTTCCTTCTTGGCTGTCTCTTCCTGCACTTGCACGTGCTTGAATGATAGAAGAGTTTAGGTTGGAGGGGATCTCTGGGGGTCGTCTGGTCCAACCTTTAACCTCATCTTTGTGGAGGAAGGAAAATCACTTGTTTAAACTTTCAGCGATAACCACTTGCAGTTGTTTAGCTCTCTGTGCCTCCAGGCACCCGTATTTAAATGTTTAATGTGCACACTTGCTGTATCAGTTCCTTAATGGCAAATTAAGGACTAAATGAATGGATTCCAAACCAAACACAAACCAGACCAGACACACATCCAACCAAGCATCTACACTGCCTGTATAATCCAGACCACATTTATGAATAAATGGATATGTTCTCTTTGGTGATTTTGATAATATGTTGTACTGAGTAGCAAATTCTAATTACTGCTCTTTGATACTCTGTAGCTGCGGGAGAAAAGCAACCTTCCTCTTGTATTTTTGCATGTTTTGTTTTCTGGTTTATAACTCATAATCCAAAAGCAGTATCTGTTTGTTTTTTGTTTGGGTTTTTTTTTTTTTTTTTGGAATCATCTATGTTTTGTGAATTTGTGGTTAGGGAAATTGAGATGTACTCAGGGAACAGTCATGTATTTGACTGGGCAGTTGAATAGAAACACACAGGGATAGACTGGATTTCTTCTTATTTTTTTAATAAACTTTGTGAGCCTAATGAAGGTTTGTACAATGCTGACTGATCAGCAGACTGAAGACTGGGAAATTGTGCTCTGTCTTGTGTAGCAGGAAGAGTTATAATTACATTAAAAGATTAAATTATGAAAAAAAATCAAATATTAAAAAAATCAATGAACCACAATTTTATACAATGTATCTTTGCAATATATTTGGAGTATCTTTGGAACTTACTGTTGCTGGTCTGTGGTGAAGTTGAGGAGGCATTGAGTTCATATAAACTTTGCTGCTTGTGTGCATAAAAAGTATACTAAGGATGATTGTAATCAAAATTTAGTGCTCTTTGAAGGGCCACCATGCTTTGTGGCAAAGTTCCTAGCTAGGACTGGCTCTTGCATCTCTCTGTGGCAGTTTTTGCACCTTGTGATGAGGAATCTGGTGTGGTCATTGCCAGGTCTGGGTGAGCTTGGGGCTTTTCCCCAAGGGTGGCACTCTTTCCCTCCGAGGTTTTTTCAAAGCTGAAGTTACAATCCAGAGTAAAGCGGTAGGTGGCACTACAGACTCTCTGTTCCTTAGGGAACTTTCCACAGTAACTCCTTCTTGCCAGCTCCCCCTGAACAAGTGTCTGTGTTTCCAAAAATAACAAGGCTGGTTCCAAGTTTTCTTGAAATATATGCACGGCTGGTTAGTCATTCATAATCACTTCTTTGCAAACACTGTGGATATTTCACATACGAGCAGCACGTCAGAAATGGGAGTTTTGCAGGAATTCCCAATATTGTGGAAAGGAGTCCCTGAAAGGTTCTTTCTGGCAGCAGGGGTGGTGGGTCTACCTACGTCAGTGACTGAGCTGCAGCAGCTTCCCTGCTGTCTTCTCTAAGCCCTTCCTGGGGTTACAGCCTGTGGGCACTGTGTCCAAGGGAAGGGGGAGGAGAGGCTTGCTGGAAGGCTCTGCTGTCCAGAGAGTCCGTGGGTCAGCTGAAGTTGTCTTGCTCCCTTCCAACCCCTCAGAAATGAGGAGAGTGTAGGGTGGGAGGTGTGGCTGTTGTGAATCGATGGATTTTGCTAATTCTGTGTGTCAAATCAGGACTGGGACCTTGAGCTCACGTGCTATCACTGCCATCTTGACCTGCATTTCTGTTTCATTTTACCAGAAGTGCAAGGTTTGGTTGTACAACAAGTACCTAAACCAGGACAAGTGAATGAGTGAAAACACTTCCATGGGTTCTTCAGGATGAATGATGCGGAAGATGAAGCAGGATAGGCCAGGCTGGATGGATCTTGGAGTAATCTGGCCTAGTGGGAGGTGTCCCTGCCCATGGCAGGGGGTTGGGATGAGATGATCTTTAAAATCCCTCCAACCCAAACCATTCTATAATTCTGTATCATTCTTTGTACTACACATGTGAGCTTGGTGCAGGCCCGGCCTGAAATGCCTCAGGTAGAATCAATAAAAGGCTGCCAAGCTGATGAAGAGGTTTTAGCCATGTTTTGGAATAATTATCCTTTTCCCAGAGAGTTGTGAGGACAGCTGGTTACATCTCAGGTGCTCCAAGCACCTCCTGGGTGTCTGTACTGCCCTCACTGACTCCAACCTGGGGGCAGGAGCTCGGTGTCGGTGTGGAGCTGAATCAGTCACAGGCTCAGAGGCTGAGCCACGTCCTGCTTGTGGCAGAGAACAAACTTGAACTGAAGTCACTGCACATTCTTGCTCTGCCTGCACCAGTGCCTTTGCTCAGGTCCTGTAGACTGGAATACTTCCTGTGCTGAAAACTTACGTCCAAACATGTCATGGTTTGGATTTCCTGCTACTGAGATCTGTCTGCTGGAGCCTCTTACATGACAAGTTTATGTTAAACCTCCCTATGACTTTGAACTTTGTCCTCTCTTCCTTGCTCCCTTCCCCACCAACCTGTCCCATCTGCCCCTCGTATCTTGACTCTTGTGCTTTGATTCACAAGCCCCATATTCCATCTGTTATTTGGGGAAGTATAAAAGCACCTGCCTTTGGCAGGGGATTAAAAGCAGCTGGTAATAAAGGAATTAATGGGACATGTGAACATGTTTAAAGCTTCAGCACCTGAAGATACTGGCCAGTTATGCTTCCCAAGTGTTGGTGATGGCTGTTTCCTTTCCATGCACAGGGAGCTGGCAAAACAGGGCTCTGAGCTACTTGATACCTGAAGTGGTATAAATAACAAAGGTGATCATTTTACCTGCCTATACTGCTGCAAATGTGACTGCCATTTTAATTTGATTTTCCTGCCAGCCTTTGTTTTTGAAGATGTGGTCTGTTTTCTTTGCTATCCAAGAACTCACAGTGTGAAGGAAGCACAATAAAGATGGGAGCAGCACAGGGAAACTACAGCCCAAGACAGAGCAATGTTCATGATTTTTTTTTTTGTTTTAGTTTTCCCTGCTGAAAAAGCAAGTATTTGATTCAGTTTCTCTTTGTTTAAATTCTGTCTTGAGAGATCAGCCTAAGAAAGCCTGAATCAATTAGAAAACAAAGAAATGTTGTCCAAAGGCCATGTAATGGATTTCAGTTTGAAGAGACCCAGGACAAATGGATTGCTTTGAGCCTGAATCTATGAGGGGCACAGCCCCTGTCTCCCAGGGGCTTGTTATGGGTCCCTGCCCCTCTGTGTCATCAGTGGGGCTCCAGCTCTGCCTCATCCTTGGAGGAGCCTCCTCTCTCCATGGACTGCCAGGGAGCCTAGGCAGAGTAGCTTCAGTAAGGTGCTGAACACTGCTAGTTGAAATATTTTCTACCTCCTTCCTCTCTGCTGAGAACAGATACTTGAAGATTTGTTCTGTTTATTGTTTTTTAAAATTAATTTGAGATTTTAAGCTCTTATTTCCCCCTATTTTCTAAGCCAGTCCTGCAGATTAGAGGCTGCTTAACTTGTTTATGACCATCCTTCGTTCCTTCTGCACATCAGTCATGCTGGTGACACTAATAAAATAGGAGATAACCAGGATTGTCTCTGGCTCTCTGGAAGAACATATCCCACTGTTGTGGGAACGCTTCCCAGTAGAGAGGTGAGACTTAGGTGCAAAATCAGCCACGTACTCACTAAGCAAGAGACAAAAGTCAGCTACCCCCGCTGGTGCTTTGGCAGGGAATTAAATTCCTGCAGCTGGATTCTGCACATGTGGGTTAAAGCATCTCTCCAAAGGCCAGTGCATCCTGCAGTGTATGTACCATCCCCTCCAGCGTGCCTTCCCTGCTAGGCTCTAGTGTAAATACAGCTGCTGCCACAGGTCAGTGCTGCCTGTCACATCTTTGGTACTGTAAA